CGGGCGTATAAACTTTTAAGCAGACCTGCACAAAAACGAGCGGCATCTGCACTTACGAGCAGACTACTACCTCGCGAGAAGAGCCGAAAGTGCAAGTGGTAGGGGATATGAAAGCATTGCGGCTAGAGAAGAAGCTGATGTCGCATGACGCCGGCGAGTAGATTGAATGCCGGGTGGGTGTCAGGCCGTCTAATGCTACGGAATTCATTTTCCCCTTATTTAAATAAGCGATGTCCCGTATTTTAAAGCTACAAGAACCCCATTCATTGCTTACGTTCTTTCTGTACACAGCTGAATATCCACCTCTGTATTTAATAATTTTTTTTTAGTTGTTGCTCATTGTGACATCTGTGGCCGCACAACTACTCAGTGAGCTGCTCATGCACTGTGGCCACGGTGTACTTGCATGCGATCTGCTACGACACGGCGTGCACAGTGGTTGATTTCCTTCATCTAGCGGGTATTAAAATATTATCAAGAGAACGGTGAAGCCACGTTGTTGAAAATTGTCAGAATTACTCCTTGTGCCATTTTTCCATTATTTTGTAAGGGGAACGAATATATAATATAAATTCATTGCCTCAGAGTCTTGATAAGGATTGCCAGTTTATCAATGTTGCAACTCCTTAAGAAGATACTCCATGCAATTGCTTACTCATACTAAAGGTTCATGAGACACTACTGAAAATGAAGTAGTATAATTTAATTCATACATAACAGTGCAAATAAAAAATTATAAAAGTAATAACAAACTAAGTACGTTGATAGTAGACTCAGACTCTCTGAATCTGCTATTCTACCTTCACGTGACACATCGACCTCCAGGAACATACACAACTTCAACTCCTTCGGGGGCGGGAGGGTGGGGCGGTTCTATGGTCTTCATTTCTCAGTTGATATGTCTACCAAATGCTTTCTTTAATTAGCAGATTTCAGAAGAAATCAATTAGGAAATGAAGCATATTCTTCATTGGCCGTACTCTAGATTAGTTTTGAGTTAGCAACTTTCTCGACGTGACACTTTGAAGTCTTTTGTTGCGAACTTTTCCTGCTGTGTCGTTCGAACTAGTTTTTCCTATGGGACAATTCATTCGATTAATGACATTTATCAGCGGTTATAAATTTAATATTATTGTGGCATGCTTGAAATACTCAGGCTATCGATGGGGCAAACTTCAGACATTACCACTCGTTTAGTGTGTTTCCAACATGCACGTTTTTTTCTGAAAGAAGCATCTCGTAGGCGGACATCGAACAGCCTTTTCACCTGCCTTCTTTCCACGTCCCTGTATATACAACCAATTTACGCGTAGAACCGCTCACCGGGCTTGGTAGAAAAAAGACAAGGAGACATCCGCACAATCGTTAGGCCAGCTGTACTGTTAGTTATAACATTCGTCTTATCAATTCTCTCGAAACAGACATGGCTAATACGGCACTCGTTCATGGTCCCATCCTTTGCGCCTTAGTTTCCACTTCTCATCCCGTCTCGATGATGATTTACCACTTCCTTGTGTTATAGGTGTATGCAACAAAAGTAGTTCCACTTCTTCTTTGATACTTGGTGAGAACTTATCTGCGTTTTCCTGGGATTATTACCGCTATTTTCGTGTGCTCTCAATCATTACGCCCCCGCGCGCGCTCGTGTGTGATCTAGCGGCGATATCGGAGCGATGCTGGTGACACGAGCGAGCGTAGTAATCAGTCTAATCTGTCTTGATATGAAGAAGGTCTTACGTATCGCCTGACACTCAGCTAGCGAGGTGAGAGAGTTAGATCATCGCGTACAAGACAGACTCACTCACAGATAACTGTGGGCTTTCTTTCATATGCGCAGGTCTGTCTTAAAGAGTTGCGTATTTATTTAATTCGACTCTTTCTCGATGTTTCTCCTACGTGAAGAATTTTGATTGATTTCTATGTCACATGTACTCTAGAACTCTTAGTGAGAGGCTGGTTAATCACTGCGAGTGGAAGTTTAACACACTCTTTTGCACTTGTCACGATCGAATATTCTCTACAGGTCAGAAATTTAAGCTGCATATTTTACAGATATTCGATCCTTGTGCACTCCTAATATTCATGTGTCTTGTGTATATGGCTCTGTAAGCTCTTGCTTGATATGTGTTGTGGTCTTCTAATATAATGATCCTTATCTCTCGGTCATTTTGTGCTATGTTGTCGTAGAGCTCTTTTCAACAAAATACTGTTTCAGGGAAATCTCTGATAATTTACACTGCCGGTATTACAGTAATATCTCGCTGCTCATTCCCAATTCTGTACTACTATCTCTTTCATGTTTACCCTCCTCAACATGAACTCATCAATTAACTTTCTTTATCTGTGTACTATTATCGTGCACGTGTGTCTCTGCGCACGTTGGGTCACTAAGACAACACAACATTTCTTACTCCTTTAGTACCACCTCCACAACATGCCTGGGGGCTGGGAATCGCAGAATCTGTCTACCGATTCTGTACACGTTAAGCGGTTCCATTTGGTCAGGCAATTATGGGGTCTAATATTTTGTATGGATGATTGTATCTCCGTGTCTTCTCACTTAAATACTGCCGTCTCTGGAATAACTTCCACAATATACACGTTTCAGAACGCGTACACTAAATCTGAGCAGCCCGGTTTCTATTTGCGTAAAATGTGCTGAAGCACTAATATAGTTCACTCACCATTACGCAAGGAGGCTCTGATCATACCCCTTCCGTTCGAGTGATTGTGCATAGCACTGAATAAAACATCGATTTTTCGAATAGGAGCGGCAATTGTGTGTCAATCAATGATGTTCTACGCCATTTTTGTTTCAGAAGGCCTTTACTCTATTCACTCCTATCGTGTCATAGACCAGTATCTTTTGGGCAATTGCTTGACAACCTTATAAACACCTCCACTTCTCAGTTTTCAAACATTTCCTGATCACTTAAGAAAACCTGTATCTAGGATACTAAACGGTCGCTGGTGAGCTCTTTCTGCTGAGTATAATACATCATAAGAGAGTGTGTTGAGTATTTTCAATTAAACCGTTAGTGCAGCTTTCTTAGGAACATACTTTCTCAGTTATCGATCCTACATATCGGGGAAACAATCTCACCTTAATTTTCATGCGGGATACATACTTATATTCCAGTGGCACTCCGAGCAAACTATACACCAGTCGCTCTGGCCTCAAGACTCACAGACGAAACTATAGGCACCGGCTGGCGAGCTGGCTTCTGGGAACGAATCTCGTTGATAGATACCCCATATCGCATATCCGCGTGAGAAATGATGTTGCATTACATTAATATGGGACTATTTTTTGTATGTTCCTGGCAGAATAATTGTAGGTAACTGACTCTGCTCACGTCAAGGTTTTTATTTATCGTTTCCCGTAGAGTAATGTATTTTCAGTTTGATTAAATCACTATTGGCAATATTTACGTCCTGTGTGAATTCTGGAAATACAAACCTCGCACTGTGGTCGATGATACGCCACCTTACCACGCGGTAGACTAGAGTGCGTATAATCCTGCGCGATCTGGAACCTACGCACACGCTTGCGGTGATAACTCGCACACACTACAAGGATAAGCTCCTGATGGCGTTAACTGCAGCGCGGATTCTGTCTCACCGATCACTCGGTGCGTGAGATTCGCATACTCACCTATTACAGGAGATGATGCTCATTGGCCACTCTTGGTTGGCCAATATGGCGTCACCTGCAGCGCATAAGCTATCGCACACTCGGTTGGGTCAAGACGCACACCTACGCTATAGCTGCTACATATTCCGCCACTGTGGGCCTCATAGTTGGCGTATAACCTGCATGGCGATCTGCTACGACAGGTACAGTGGTGAAACCCACGCTACCACCATACAACGAAGCTTGTAGGCGTATCTCTGAAAGAACGTGCATCTGCTTACCGACATAACGGTGGTGGAAACCCCGCATCTACTTTGAGAGAGACACCCTACCTCATACCTGTACCACTGATTAGACGACGAAACCCTGACCAGGTTACGGTTAGTAACTCTGTGGCACGCGATCTAAGCCTTTACGACATTCGGTGGATTTGACTGCATCCCTATATGCAAGCTGCATCCATTACGCACACTCTTACTGTCCTGGCCAAGAGAACGTCATATCTCTGCAGGACGATGTGGTCTACGACACGCAAGAGTAGAAGGTCATACACGTGTGACAACGACGCTTGCTGAGGGGTCGTCTGACATAGTGGCGCTCAGAAGGCAAGGCCGTCAAGTGCAGGCGTGAAATCACTGAAGATATACGAAAAACCGGTGGTTGAAAACCGTCACACTCCATAACAACGAGACATAGAGGAGGCCGTAACCTGGCGCGCAGGCACTCGTGTGTGGGGCACGGGAGGGGGCGTGTAACGCTCAGCATCGTACCAGGACAAGGTGATGTGGACGGTACACGAGTTGTGGACAGCACAGGAGGTGGCTACACTGGACCACGCGTGCGCTGAGACGCGCACACGACGCTCATAGCCAGGAATGCGGACAAGCTCCGGGCGCAGTAAATTCTGGCCAATCCGCACTAGGGTTGGAAGCATTTGTGCTCTTTAACCGCAGGAAGATGCGAGGTAGTCAATCTTCGCACCGTATTCTCCATTTTAAAGAGACCCACGTTTGAACTAGGGTTGATTCCACCAACCGTGGACAACTGCGTTGGAAGTACCATGACTCAGATTGGCCTCTTCTTGGGCCAAGCGGACCATATAGGCAGTTACGCGTGCAGCGATTCTGCTTGACGATCGGTCCGCACCGGAAAGGTGATGTATGTACGAGCATAATCAGCGCTAGCTCATCTAGTCGATAGCTTTGACGAAGAGTTTGCTCAGAGAACACTCGGTGGTGAATAGCACGGGCCTCGCACACACATAGATACGACAAGGTGCCAGTCACTCAGCACCTGGAGGTCTCCAAAGGTCGTCAATCGTTTCAGAGATGCTTATCCTATCTGCCTTACGAACATAATTAGCTCCTTAACTGCCTACGAGAGTGTCGCCATTGTAATCGGTGCCTGGGAAGCTGCACAGCTGACGTTGCCCGAAGGTGATGCACTGCAGTCGCCGGCAGCGCCGCCACGGCGCGCGCGATCGGTCGCGCAGACAGCGCGTTGTCGCGGCCAGCAGCTGCACGAGGGGCGCCGTGCTGCTGCAGGAGAGCGCGCGCAGCCCGCCCCGGACACGTCCAGGCGCCGCAAGCGCGGCAGGGCGTCCACCGTCCAGCGTCCCGCTCCGCCAGCGGGTTCCCGCCAGGCGCAGCGACGTCAGCTGGCCAGCGCCGCCAGCGCGCGCGCTCCAGCGAGTCAGCGCGTTGCCCGACAGGTCCAGCTCTGCAAGCACCGGCGTAAAGAAGCACCTGCAACTACCAAGGCTATTGAGGGACATGATACTTGATCCAACGAGTCGATGCATGCAACGACATATACTGATCCAACGATCGATGCAGCAACGAATCGTTTTCGGATCCAGAACTGCTATGGTCTGCTGTGTCTCTTTAGTCCAGCAAGTGTTGGTGCGTGATTTTATCACGGGAAATGACATGTTCTTCTCCCGCTGAATAGTGAGTTCAGTGCCAACCTACGTGCACGTCAGCGTGAGGTTTTCCCCATTCATCTCCCCACCAGTCCAGCAACCCCCCCTCGCCAGGTTCCAATCTTCTAAGTTCTCCACTGGTAGGATAATGAACAGTGGGTACGTGTGTGTGTGTAAGAGGTGAGGATAGGATAAGAAAGAGGAAGGAATGATTGCGTGCTTTCCGTGGCGCGTTTGTTAGAGTACTGCTCCGGAATTTGTCTGGAATTCACACGAAAAACTATGGAAAAGTACCGATCAGAACAGGTGGACACTAGAATTCGAACCCTAGGACCTCCAGGACAGAGGTGCTGTGATATCAGTTGATGCTCTGATCTACCTCAGATAGTGAAAGAAACGATGAAGCAATAAGATGATGAAAACTTGAGTTGATAGCGAAACCGATGCGGTGAATGATGAATGATGCTGAAATGAGAATCAGGGGAAACTGAATATCCCCGCGATCTATTTGTCCACCACAATCCTACATGGGTGGGCTGGGATATTTCAAATCCCTGCTCTAAAATCTACATTTGCCAACACACAATAAATAAAATTGGCGATACACGTGAATTATTTTAATTAGTGGAAGTGAAGGACAAGTATTGAGATCTACTGCATTAAGGCAGTGACCTCTTTCCTTCGTATAAATAGATCTTCGGGTGTTACACTTCCACATTTTTGTAGCGATATTTGACTATTGTTAAAGGTTCAACTAGTTTTATTTTTTCTTGTAGTAATCGGCATTTACATCTCCCTTCTTCATCCCAAACACTGCAATAAAAAATTAGATCTGTAAGGCATTTTGTGTATCTTTCTCATATTATAAAGTCAGTCTTTTAATATAATTTACGGAGTTACTGGATCAGACGACGAACTCTGAGTCGAACAAATGTTGGTTGGTATTGTTAAAAATAAAATGCTAATTTGTCAGCTACATTTTTGCCTGGAGAGAAGCTTTAATTTCTTTTCAGATAATTTTTTTTATCGATTGAACAATACAACCCAAACGGCCAGTCGATCTTTCAGTGATTCGTCATCAATGTGTGAAGCGAAAGAGTATTTATTGTTCCCGGGAGCGTCCACTACGTTGATAATTGATTTGTGCCGTGACTGTAGTGCGTGTGATGGCGGTGTTCTTCCACCACAAGAACTTTTATGTCCAGCGCCGACCTACACATCGGCTTGCGGATGGTTTCCCCTCCAGGTGTCTCTACCAGCAGGGCACTCCGCCGGGAGAAACTACAAGTTCCCCATGGGTGTGCTGACATGTATGTTAGTGTAGACCACGCATGTGTGTGCGTGCGTGTAGAGTAGTGAAGCAACATCGATCCCAAAACATCGATGTTAGCGAATATCGATGTTCAAAATACATCGAAGAAAATCCATTGATGTTTTTCAACTAGTAACTAGACTGGATTAGTAACCTCTAACATTAAAATTGTGGGCGATAAAATGTAATATGACAGTGTTGGTGTTTATCAATTTGTCGAGTATGGGAAGGGTATGATAAGAAGGTGCCGACCCTACGTCAACAGCGTATTTGATGGCCATATCTCAATGTGCAGCATGAATATGAACAGGAAATACAATGGCTACTAGTATTACTATCAGTTATTATTTCAAATTTTAACTTTCATTGAATTTTGATGATGGGATATTTTCATTAAGACCCCTTCATTTTTCATTGAGAAACCTGACATCGGAAAAGAAAAAAAACAACAACATCGGTCACAAAATAATGTTAATAAATCTGTGTTTAAAACATCGATGTTTCGATAAAACCATCGTTTTGATGTTTTGAAAACATTGACATCGATGTCGATGTGGCATCCCTAGTACAGGCGTGGAGGATACGGACGTTGCAACGTCCGTCACGCATCCTTAGCGCTGATTAGAACAGCGCGCGCAGCGCCTCACCTGCAGTTCGAGCGGCGGGCTGTTGAGCGGCAGCGACTCACCTGCAGTCCGAGCGGCGGGCTGTTGAGCGGCAGCGCGCGCAGCTCTGCGATGCGGTTGTCGGCCGCGCGCAGGCGCAGCAGCCCGGGCGGCAGCGCGGCCAGGTCGAGGTCGCGCAGCTGGTTGTCGGCGACGTCGAGCAGGCGCAGCGCGCGCAGCGGGCGCAGCGCGTCGCCGTTGAGCTCGCGCAGCGCGTTGCGGTCGAGGCGCAGCGCGCGCAGGTCGCCGGCCACGCCGTCGAGCACGCGGTCGAGCAGCGCGGCGAGCGCGTTGCGCGACAGGTCGAGCGCGCGCAGCGGCACGCCCGCGGGCGCCTCGAGGTGCAGCAGGCGCTCGGCCCCGCACCCGGCGAAGGAGAGGCGCGCGAACGCCGCCCCGCGCACACCGCCCGCCAGCGACGCGTCGCTCGGCACCGGCACCGCGCCGCCCGCGTCCGCCGGCACGCCCGAGCAGTTCACCAGCTGGCAACGCAACGACACCTCCATTTGACACATTGAACGGGGAAATTTTATACATTATGAGAAATCTCTTTATTTAAGTCAGCTGACAAGCCAAAGACACATCAAATCGAATCATTGAATGGGTAAATTTTATAAATTCTGATAAATCTCTATTTAGGTCAGCTGACAAGCCAAGGACACTTCAAATGGAGTCAGTCAATGGGAGAAGGGTATAAGTGACATTTTACGAATTCTGATAAATCTCTACTTACGTCAGCTGACAAGCCAAGGACACGTCCAATCGAGTCATTGAATGCTATAAGTGACATTTTATAAAATCTGACAAATCTCTCAATTTAAGTCAGCTGACAAGCCAAGAACTCTTCGAATTGACTCATTGAATGGGTAACAGTGACATTTTATACATTATGAGAAATCTCTTTATTTAAGTCAGCTGACAAGCGAACAACACTTCAAATGGAGTCAGTGAATGGGGGAACGGTATAAATGACATTTTATAAATTCTGAGAAATCTCTATTTAGGTCAGCTAACAAGCCAAGGACACCTTAAATGGAGTCAGTGAATGGGAGAACGGTATAAATGACATTTTATAAATTCTGAGAAATCTGTTTAATCAAGTCAATATTACTGTTAAGTCAGCTGACAAGCGAGGGACATTTCAAATTGAGTGGAGAATGGGTGAAAACCAGAACGATGTGATTACATTTTATAAATTCAGAGAAATCTCTTTATTTAAGTCAAAATCATTAAAAAGTCATGGAGATTTGTTTCACCATTAAAACCGCGGCATTTCAATAGATTATTAAAACCACTAAATTACATTGCCATTGAAATATAGTCGAAAATAAACACGTTTTTCTAAGAAATGATAACATGTAACTTGTACCGTTTTGTTCTTCACCCATTCAATTACATATTACACCTAATCATGTTATATTCCAGGACTACCAAACTGGCGGCTCGCGGTACCATTTATAGTGGTCCGCGAATGGTTATTAGCAAAAGTGGAACATCGTTTCGTGTATGTTGGGCGTGAGAGCCTGGCGCACGCGCCCTAGTGGGGTAAACCCCTTTTAATGAGGGGAAAAAAAATTAATTTAGATTTAAGGATTTGTTTCTAATAAAAACAAAGTCATCCCAATGTGCTTCATTGCGTTCTGCATGGCACGTGTAGATATCATGCATAGTTGTATTCCCCTCCCCCTGTTTCAGAGCAGCCGGGTAGAGTTCTGAGAACAAAAATGTGGGGAAGTCACGTGTGGATCGTCCGTGTAACGAAAATATGGTTCGCAACCATGTTAAAGGTTTTAGTTGTGGCTCTTAAGGCCTTGCAAGTTTGATACCCCTCATATTTACAGACGTTTCTCTGAGGAGGGACCAGTTGACAGGTCAAGAGCACACGAGCGAAGAACAATTACGTGCCTTCTCGAATCATATTATATACAGAAGTTACTCTAAGAGGAGACTAGTTTGACAGGTATGGTCATTCCGGAGAAGCGAAGAACAATTACGTTCTTTCTCAAATCTTGTTATATACAGAAGTTACTCGATGAAGGGAACAGTTTGACATGTCGGGATATTACACACTGTAAAGGACACTTACAAGTCTTCTCAAATAATGTTATATCTACAAGATACTCCAAGGGACAAATTTGACAGGTCGTAAAAGCAAAGAAAGTCATGTTGCTCGATGCCATTGCAGGAGGAAGTGTCGAAGTCATTTAAAAGTGAGCTATCTCCAAATAAACGCTTTGACGCATTGAGCACACGGACGTTATTTGCACTTATGTTGCCAGCAGACGCCAAACAGTAGCTGACAAAGTGATCCTTTCTTACAGTAGTCTCTCTATATTAACATGCTAAATAAATTGTGTATTAATTTTCATTTAATGAAGCCATCAAGTGTCGTTTCTAACCGATTCACAAATATTGCCAATTGAGAAATTAAATACGAAAACCGTTTATGTAGACATATGCTTAGATAAGACAGAAGCACGATACAACTTCCAACTACTTTAGTCCACGCAATTAACGGGCATTCAGCTCCACGGGCCAGTTCCTACATCCGTTACCGCCTGTGCACACTTCCTGGACACGCTAGTATCTGAAATCTTGCGATGTATCTGGCGGACACGTGTTGCCTGCTCCGCTGCTCTTGTTGTAACGGCCGGTTCCGCGAAGCGAAGACATTGCGTCGAGCGTGAGTCAGTCGGCAGCAGGCACGCCTCGCGGGGGCTGACGCACTGCGTGCCTCCCAATCGCTTGAGGTTCAGCGCAAATCAGCTGCGGACGCGGAAAGTATCCGCTCTCAACGGGTGTGCCTTTTGCAGACAACATATCGGAAGTGATTTTATTGCCAGGAGAAGGATATTTGATAAAATATATCTACATGTAAATAAAAGGAAATGTTCGTATGTTTGTCGCACACGGATGCAAAAACTACACGACCGATTTCGCTGGAATTATCACACTGTTTTTATTAGTAATTAGTGTGTTTAGAAAGTTATTTGGATAAAATCGTACATGTGGGGGCGTTGTCGGTTATGATTTAATTAATTAGTTAATTAATTAAATGTAAGCATGTATTTATTATTTATTAACGATGCGGTTGTAATAGACAGTAGCATTTCACTTATTAACAAAATGCATTTATTTTACTTCATACAAAGAATTTCCACCAGTTCAATGGGTTTGTATGGAAAATTGTTCTCGTGTAAAACTACTTCATTTTACTAAATGTTTTGTTGGAGGCGGGGGCGTCCCCGTACTACCGAAGTCATAAGCATTTTAGACGAGTTGTGTAAGAAAAACTAAACCTCACATTTAATTCAAATTTGAATTTTCGATCGTTTAAATTCAATACAAATCATTTTTTCTAAATTTTAGTGTCCACAACCGGCACGAGGACAGTTATCAAAGTTGAGTAAACGTTACTGGAAATAATAGAATAATAATGGGATATAAGTCTCATTCGGCTATTTGCTAAGTTTTAAGTTCGTCCAGACTGCAGGGATTATCGGACGAAGGGACGAGAGTTTATGAGACAGAAAAAGTGGAGATTCGAATATTATATGAAAGTACTAGCGCATTTATATTCGCACACGTGACTACATTTAATGGGAAAGAAGAATGGAAATAAACTCTCCGAGCAGCCGCAGTATTATAGCCTTCATAATTCTCGTTAATTCGTTTAATGCACTTACCAAAATTCTGCTCGCTCATATCGAAATTCCGTGTGGGGGAAAGTTGTTTCTACATCTTCCTCGTGCTCAGTGAGGCTCCTGTTTACACAACCACTAACTAACAAAGTCCAATACTTATCGTAATTATTTACAGAGATTAAATATAGTAAGGACAGAAAGTATGAGAGACTTTAGGATATATTCGAAACTTGTTTTGTTCTCTATGGTTCTATTTTTGCTAGTTATTTTCTCTGGGATCCATTGGCAGAGTCGATATAGCGGTATGAGTGACAGGTGTCAGTACAACTGAGTCAAACACCGAATTCACTTGTATAATATAAATGTGTATTTAAGATATTTTTACATTAACATCTCTTGCACTGTGGAAATCCCGTTAACATTGATACAATTTAATTTATTTAATTCACGTTTATTTTGCCTATAAATGTACATTTTCTTTTAATATGTACAATAATTTATCACATTAAGTATGATCACCCCCATGATAAGTTGCATTCAAATTACTATGTCAATTTGAAAATGAAGTTTTCTCTCATCATAAAATCCACTTTTACTTTTCGGACTTGCTTCATAAGAAGAAAAAGTATTATAATCGGAAAACGAGAATTAATAACAAGATTTTCTCGAAAACGGCTCCAATTTTTTCCTTACAAATGTTAGGGATAGTACTACATATACTCTAAAATGACATAAACGCCATATTGTTCTAGTGTTTTGTTGTTTTTTCTTCAAAAATTACAAATATGGAACTTTTTCCACTTATCTCTCACGTTATTGATATTTACATTAGCGGTGATTTAGTCAAACTTTTGCATTTACAAGAACGTGTGCGTTAAATGATATAACACCTCGAAAACTCAAAACTCTTCTGAGTAAACGAGTTCAAAATTCCGCATTTTCAGAAACGTTCAAACGCCATTTTCTCACAAACGGCTCAATCTTTTTTTGCAAACTATTCGTACGGATAGTGCTAACTGCACTGTTTAAGTTGACATTAAATAAATTTTGCTATATTCTTTTTTTTCAAAAAATACACACATTTTTTAATATCTCTCACGCTGTTAATATGTACATTTCAAGCGATTTACATGCTAATTGCATTTGTCAGTGGAAGTAAATCTTCAAATGACTTTCAATAAAGTTTTTTGACAAGTTATGTATGCGAGAAGGTTTTAAATTTCGCATTTAAAATAGGTCTATTAACGACATTTTCATAAAAACGGCTTGAAATTTTGTCAAAGAAATTTTTTTCACAGACCTAGCTTTTTTTAAATTTTTCTATATTATTCATAAAGTAAGGTTTCGGTTGTACCATTACGAAAATGACAAAAGAAAAAGAAAAGAAAAAAAAAGAAAGAAAAAAATGTACTTTGAGTGGCGAAAGATGGCAGCTGGCAAGAGTATGTGAGAAGTTCGAAAAGCAAGCTCAGACCAAAGAAACGAGTCTACTATTGCGAGAAAGTGTGTGCCATTCCGCAGCACCGCTAGTTTTGCCACCCCTCGATGCGCCCCCTGCGCCTGTCAACTCGGGCTTCCCGAGAGCGGCCCTCACGCGACGGCGCGGCGCGGCGCGGCGCTCCGCTTCATCTGGTTACGCGCGTGCGAGTGGGTTGTGTCACCCGCGCGGAATCACGTAACACTCGCCACGACACTTTCTCTTTGCGGGGCGGACATATTCCGCCCTCGACTCCCGTGCGGCACCCGCATCGCTGACACGCTAAAAATGCGCTCTGAGATGTAAAAATTAACTATACAAGGTTTTTTTTGTTATTTAAGTTCGAATCAACTTCTAGGTCATTAGCGACCACTATTGTTTTGGAACGGTATGGTACCTGTCAGGATGACACGATATGATGATCGATCAGGGGATGAACGGCCGAACACAATACAACCATGGTTGCGTAGGCTTCGCGCCGGAGTTTTTGTTGGCTAGGCTATCCGTGACGAGCCGCGTCAATGTCATGGTGGCTAACGTTTCGGCAGCGTATTGTGGCCTTCAGAGCGTACATGCCGAGGCGGGACTCGAACCCGCGATCCTTCGGTCCGAGATCGCTACGGCACTACTACTTAGCGATCTCGACACCGGATCGGCTTAGAAGTTGTTTCCGTTTCAAATCTAAATATACTTTCGTTAATTTAATTCAAAATTAGAAATATTAGCAGCACGCAGTAATACAAGAGATTTGTTTGGTTAATAAATTAAATCTTCTCTACTGTTTTGAACTAAACAACGTAACCAGATGTATTTGTGTATGAAAACGTATTTTCTGTAAAACATCGCAAGATCCCGAGGTATCACAGGACACATCTTCAAGGGTCCATATGGTTTGTGGAACTTTATGCATTATTTCGTATTTAAACTTGCATCTTTTCTTTTAGTCTTGTATAGATGTGAGTTTTAATAGAGCGTAAGCGATATTTTGCGTACATACTTTCAAATATCGAAGTTCGTTATGATGGTACAACACATTTATTCGACTGAGTATTAGAATGATAAAAAAATACTGGTTTAATAAAATTACGCATTGAACGTACGGAAATAATCTAATTACTAAACGAATGTTTATTTGTGCTGATGATTCTGTCAAAATGGAAAGAAATAATTAATTCATTAATGAAACACATGTAAACGATTGATTACATTAACTAGGTGGTAAAATATATTCTTAATATACGTGTGATTTAACTGTTCATACCCAAAGCACGTTTAACTACTGTGCGTTGGGTGCACGTCTATCGAATAAACTAAACGTGATTTTCTTGGCGCCTGGCTAAACGCGACTTGCATCTTAAGGAGCGAGGTACTTTACGAACTTCCGGGAATGTTTTAAACATCCGGTACCACAAGCCCCGTTCTGCATAATAAGAGAAATTCGAACGGTATTCTCCATTGCATTCTCTTCACAATGTAAACATTTACAGTGTTGATTTTCTTGTGGCATAGAAGACTGTTGCCGACCGAAAAAACCCTGTCATTTAATGATATATGCGGAAACGATAAAGTTCACTGTAGAGAATGATCAATCGGATGAATGTGAGTTTATGTTTCATCGAAAAAAAAGAAAGAAAAAAGTAACAACAGAAGAAACCTTGTTTAATCCATCGACATTAATCAGTATATTCCATTGTGTAACATATAATATATTTTATCCATTTCTCGTCCCAGAAAATGTGTGAACGTAACCGACATGAGGGCGCTACAATCTTAACGTTTACTTCATTAACGGAAACCGGATACTTAGAATAAAATACACTCCTTGGGATATGTTTGACTATTTAAAAACTCCTTTTACCCTCAACGAGAATTTCTTTTGGTAAAAAAAAAGTTTGTAGTTGTCTACATCCGAATATGTCCGTGAGGTTTTCGCAAAGGAGTTTGGGGCACGCACCACTCCGAATCCCTCATCTGGGTCCTCAGGAGGCAGTTCCAGGCAGCGACATGGTCCGCCGCACTTCTTGGCCCCAGCCTGCGCCAGGGGCACCACCAGCAGCACCAGCGCCAGCCCCACCAACGGCGTCGAGGGCCGCGGCACCATGGCGCCAACCTGCAACACCAAACGGGATGCACAATTAGTACCAAGAGAAAGCACTTAGAAGTCTCATCTGCTTTATTGTTCTCAATCTACCCTCTCAGAATAACGATGTCTCTACCGCAGGCAAAAGAAATGAAGTGGCATTTAGTGAAGGTACTACCATAGAAACAAAACCAGTGATGTAATGGAAGCACACACTTTCTCGTTTTATTTTTATCAGATACGTAATATTTGAACACAAGTCGAACACGCAAACGTGTTTCCAACCTATAAAAGATAGGTACTAAAACAGCACGTACTTTCTCGCAAAATTACGCGAAAAGTACTCAAATCATCTGAAAATTATACATTAACTTATTTGAAAATCTATCCGTAATGAACATATTTTATGAAGGGAAATAATCCCTATCTTTAATATTTTTGCAGTAGGAAGAATCCGAGTTTTTTTTTCTTCTACAATTTTTGAAAAATTAGAATTTTAAACGAACATGAGACCTACACCATTCTCTGAAACGTCCTTCACACAATCCAAGAAGAAAATTAATTCAAAAACGATGGAGCCCTTTTTTTCTGAAAATTTGGAAAATGTTCCAAGGGCTTCGTGTAAAGTAGCCCCCACCATTAAAGTATAGGGGGACGCAACGTCATTCCAAATCGATTGAGGAATATCAAATTTGGAGAAGATTGACGGAACGGATTAGCAGCTACAGTTGTTCAAAGACGGACAGACAGACGTTTTTCCGTCATTCGACGTTTCGTTATCAAGGACCCACAAAAAAGATTCTGGCTACACCCCGTATTAGAGAATCCTCCCCCTAAATTTAGCAAATGGATTTATCCACTTTTTTGTTAGCAGGGCCCTGTAATAAGAGTTTTTCTGCCAAAAATTTGTTGTGTATCCGCGCAAAATTACATAACTTTCTCTCTACTCCGTAGCGCGAAAGTAAAACAATTGGCTGGAGTGGGGAGTAAACCTAGATTACGCAGGAGGTGTTTCAACTCTCTGAAGTAACATCTCTGAGTCAAAGTGCTGAAAAAAAGTGGTTTGTTTTTAATAATAGGATGGAGATGGACATAAGAACTTCGCTGTTTCCTGATGTTTGGAGAGCGCGAATAACTTGTTTAGAAGTGTCCCACAGAGAGCGATAGGTACCTCAGGAGGTCGAAATGGGTCTTATAGACGCCGATAGAGAGGGGGATGGGACAAGAACGAAAAGCTATCCCCGACTCACAAGGATAGGATACGAACGAGAAAGTCTGAAAAATTTTGTAGCACCACTAGCTTCGCATCGGTACATAACACAATACAATACAATACAATACAATGGAACGTACAATACAACGGAAAAATATGTAAGGTGTCTGACAATGAACTACATCTCGCCCAAATTCGTTATTACTTTAGTGTTCCCATTTGTATTAAAATGCCACAGAGGCAATATATTATCATTGGCATAATGAAAACGAGATGAATATTATGATTATCAATGTCGTGATGCGAAGAACAAGAAACTACTCTAATATATCCTTATAATCTAGATTTTCCCAGAAGTTTAAAAAATGTTCGGCGCTCATTTATTGTTAATGATACATCAACGGTATTCGATGAAATGTAATCTAAGCAGAGCAAGTAATGCAATGTTCCGAAGCATGGGCCTTCTTATAATGGTAAATTATTCCTTTTATTTTTTTATTTCTTCATGAGTTAAACTGATTTTCGTTTATTGAATGACAGATAAAATTGAAATTACTAAAGTTTCCAGAACAACCAGACCCGGTACTGACACAGGCAACATTCATTTAACTGTCGATAACCAACTAGGTTTTTATTGAACTTTTTTATTATTCGTTATTGGATTTATTGATTTTTCAGTTCCAGAAAAATGTGTCATATGGCATACATCTTCTATCTCTGAGTTTGTGTCTTCTGCCATATATTGCATAACAAATGTTTATTCTAAACATTTTTAGTAGACAACTAGAATATAAAGAACATTCCTTAGAAGAACTTAGAGGTAATTAGAATCGAACAGAAAAAAAACAACTTTCCCTCCAATTCTAGATCTGCCAAGATGTGCGGAAATAAGTAAAGAAACTTCACTCATGAATTACATTTCCGAGAAATGTATAGGGAAGTGACACTTGATATCCTTCCTAGTAACTGCAGTGTGAATTTGAGCAACACGCTGTAACACGATAGCTTGTTTAACGAATCATAATGACGCTTTGAGAAAGTTTCAAGAAGTTTGAGGAAGTTGTTCTTCAATTGGAATGTCCAGCGCAGGTCTAGTATGCAATGAATTGAATTCTCAGAACAGCTATAGCAGCTAAAATTAAACAGCATGTGTCTCTTTTTAAAGTCTTCGAAAGAAGGTTTTACAACTTATATTTGTTTCAGTTTGTTCAACCACAACTATAGCAAATGTTACTTGATTAAAAACATTTTTCATTTGCTATAAACACCATGTAGGATATGGGTAATTTAATAATATTCCGACAACAGGGTTCAAAGAAATCATTATCTATAATAAAATACGACAAGAGTTCAATGTCAAGAACACTAACGTGTATACTGCATGCAGGATTTTCTTCAAAATTAATATTCTGTGATGGATCCGACTTAACTTGACTTAAACTCCCTACAAATTTGATACGGGTCTTTAAATTTGGTGGTGTATTTAAAAAAAAACACGAAATTTTTTTGTGTTTTTTTCTCTTAAAAATTATTTTAAAACAATAATACACCGTTAAAAAAGGATATTCATTAAAATTTCAGAATTTTCGAATATTCCAATAGTTGAATTGCAATTTCCGTTGCGACGCCTTGAATACGTAGCAAAAGTAATGTAATGAATGGTGTTTTGTCTGTTCAAAGAATTGTCTGCTCCCAGCCAGATCTCGGGGTATACATCCAGTTGCTCTTTGAACATTCACACATCATTTGTAACTCTAATACGCAGCTGGGGCCGCAAAGACAGTTGGCAAATGCGAAATGGACAGTATATTCCTATGTAATTGTTATATTTATGGCGATCAAATGTAAAATGTCAGTGAAAAATGGTAGGTGAAATGTAAAATGTATCCATCACAGGGGCTTGTAACTCTTTGTCTGTTCGTAGAAGTGACATTTTAGGCAGCTGAAAATCAATTAGGCGTATAAAGTGGCCCACAGTAGGCAGCTCAGGATAAATTGTGGCGTATGGAGTGAAGTACAGGCCCACAAGGCCCGGAATGCGGGTGGGCCAGGTAAAACAGGGCCTATTTTGAGGGGTGAAGGTTTTATAATCATAAGAAATATTGACTAAAACATTCATACTTTCTTTGATACTTTGCGATAGTTGTAACAATAACAAATTTAAAAAAAGCATTTTCCAGAACAAATGTTTTACTTTCTTCAGTAGCTTATGTAACCCAGTTTCTAATTCAATATAATCTGTTAGTAATATCGATTGCTTATGTAGTAATCATAGACTGACAAAAATATTAATTTGTTAAAGACTATTTTTATTATTTAAGACGCTAACACTACTTGTGTTTGCTGTACACTTCTATAAAGAGGGTCCGGATAAAAAGTTTTGCGGGCGGGCTCATTTCGTTACTCTACTGGGCGTATATTTCAAGATTCGTGTTCGATTCCCGGCTGAGGCAATCAATACTTTGAAACATTTTTAATCACAATAATCAATAATAAATAATAATAATAATAATAATAATAATAATAATAATAATAATAATATCATCGACTAATTTAAGAACGCTGCGAATAATTTCCCCCCTTTTCCTGCATGGAGACATTATAGAGAAGGACTACAATCCATCATTTGACAAGACGACAAAAACTCCTTCCTCTATATAAAAATTACAAACGTCTTTAGTATAAACAATTTAACACAAAAAATGAAGAATTTAAAAAATGTTTCTTTGTGCTAATCTAACAACTTTTGAAGCACTTGTGTAGTTGTCATTTCAAATACTAAGGTTTATGTTTAGATGATTTCGTTAAATACGTTTCATTGGATTTGTTATCCTGCAGAAAACGAAGTTTATTGCGAAGATATTTGTTTTTTTACATAATTGGAATCGTATTAGTATGACTACATACAAGTAGAACATATTTGATATTATATAACATTTCTGTGTGTTTTCTAAAAAACGTATTGTTATGACAGTTATATTTAATTTGTTACGTAGAACAGCACGAAAGGTTCGATATTTCGACAAAGCATTTGAAAAAGAGACCTAAATCCAGAGGTTCTTCGAGTAAAAGGTGCATAACCAGTCATGAAGAGTGTGGTCACGAGCTTCAAACATCTTGTTGCTCGTTCGGGATGCTAAAGAGTCGACGACACTTCGCCGCCGCTAGGCAGACGCCAGCCAGCCCTTGAGCGCACGTCCTTCCGGGCAATCTGCATGCGAGCCGCGCCCGCTCCGCTCTCTTTGGCCCGTGGCTGCCTTCCCCGCTCTCTGCTCCGCTGCTCTGCGCTGAAGTCGCCGGCCGCGGCCCCCGTTACGTCCGCCCGCGCCGTCTCGCTCAGCCACTCCCCACTCTTCGCGCCGCGCTTCCGCCTCCGCTGCGCCATCGACATCAACACACGCGCGCAACCGTTCGCTCTCCGGGTGCCAAGGCAAATGAGCGAGCGAGCGAGCACGTGAATAAGTGAATGAGCGAGCGAGCACGAGAATAAGTGAATGAGCGAGCGAGGACGTGAATAAGTGAATGAGCGAGCGAGCACGTGAATAAGTGAATGAGTGAGCGAGCACGTGAATGAGCAAACGAGTAAGTGAATAAGCAAACGAGTAAGTGAATGAGTATTTAGCGCGTGAACCACTTTGGTCCCTTAAGTGCCATACTATGGGGCTCTCAATGTAGTGCCCAAGATATGTACTTATGATGAGGATGATGCCGTATCTTGAGAGATGGCGCAGTTCCTGTCCCGTTAGAACGTGAGATACTGTGTTGACCAAGACATCGACTAGCGGAGATTTTCCCCCTCCGTATATCTCCTCCAGAG